AGTACCTTGTGTGATTTCTCTTGTACAGTGAATTGAATAAACAACTTAATCTCTCTGAGTTTAAAGTTTCCTGACTGTACCGTGGCTGGGTGTAGGGGTGGTGGTTGGTGGTTGTGTGCATTGGAGTGGGTTCCAACTACTAGTGACCAATCCTGCATAGGGTTGCCGAGGCTATAAATCTTTACAGGAGCAGAAAGCCTCATCTTTCTCCCACAGAACAGTTGGTAGTTTCAAACTGTTGACTTTGAGGTTAGCAGTCTGACTCTTAACCACTATGCTATAGAGCCCCTTGGGGGTGGGAGTTGTTGTTGTTGTCAGGTGCCATCAACTAGCTACCAACTCATAGTGACACTATGTACAACAGAATGAAACACTGCCAGGTCCTGGGACAATCTTACAATTGTTGCAACGCTTGAGCCCATTGATGCTGCCACTTTGGCAATCCATCTTTTTTGGGGTCTTCATCTTTTTCTCTGACCCCTCCACCTTACCAAACATGATATCCTTCTCCAGTGGACTGGCCCCTCTTAACAATATGTCCAAAGTATGAAAGACGGAGTTTGGCCATCCTGGCCTCCAAGGAGCACTCTGACTGCACTTCTTCCAATACAGACCTGTTGGTTCTTTTGGGAGCTCATAGCACTTTCAATATTCTCCTCTAACACTATAACTCAAATGCACCAATTCTTCTGTGGTCTTCCTTATTCATTGGCCAGCTTTCGCATGCATATGAGGTTACTGAAAAACTATGGCTTGGGCCAGGCACACCTCAGTCCTCAAGCTGACATCTTTGCTCTTCAACACTTTAAAAAGGTCTTGTGCAGCAGATTTGCCTAATCCAATACATCCTTTTGATTTCTTGACTGCTGCTTCCATGAGTGTTGACAGTTGAACCAAGAAGAATGAAGTCCTTGACAACTTCAATCTTTTCTTCATTGATAAGAGTGTTATTTATTGGTCCAGTGGTGAGGATTTTTGGTTTCTTTACATTGAGATGCAATCCATACCAAAGGCTGTGCTCATTGATCTTCATCAGTAAATATTTTAAGGTCTCTTTACTTTCAGCAAGCAAGGTTGTATCATCTGTAAATTGCAGGGTGCTAAAGAATCTTCCTCAAACCCTAATGCCACATTTTTCTTCATATAACCCAGTTTCTCGGAATATTTGCTCAGCATACAGGTTGAATAAGTTTGGTGAAAGAATACAACCCTCTCACACACCTTTCTTAATTTTAAACCATTCAGTGTTCCCATGTTCTCTTTGAACAACTGTCTCATGGTCCACGTACAGATTTCTCATGAGCACAATTAAGTGTTCTGGAATACTCATACTTCGCAATGTTGTCCATAGCTTGTCATGATCCACACAATCGAAAGCCTTTGCAAAGTAAAAAAAAGCACAGGTAAACATCTTTCTGATATTCTCTGCTTTCAGCCAAGACCCATCAGACATCAGCAATGATATTTCTTGTTCCATGTCCTCTTTCTGAATCCAGCTTAAACCTCTGGAATTTCTCTGTCAATGTATGCTTGCAGCCATTTCTGCATTACCTTCAGTAAATCTTTACTTGATGGGATATCAAAGATATCGTCCGATGATTTCCACATTCC